CTCGGCTCGAGCCCGCCCCTCAGGTACGGCGCTCGTGCCCGGGTGATGGGGCTCGGCGGCGGGGCCGTGTGCGCCGCGGGCGCCGCCGGCGCCGCGGGCGCAGCTGAAGCCGCGGCCGCCCCCGGCGGCCGCCCCCCCCGGGCTCCCCCGCGCCGCGGGCGCCACGGGCGCCGCCGGCGCCGCCTGCGGCCGCCCCCCCGCGCCCCCCTGCGCTGCGGGCCGCGGGCGCCGCGAGCGCCGCTGGCGCCGCCGGCGCCGCGGGCGTCGCTGGCGCCGCCGGGGGCGCAGCTGGACCGCGGCCCCGCCTGCGCCGCCCCCCGGGCTCCCTGCGCCGCGGGCGCGCGCTGGCGCCGGGCGCCGCGGGAGCCGCGCCGCCGCCTGCGGCCGCGGCCGCCGCTCCCTGCGCCTTGTGCGCGGCGGGCGCCGCGGGCGGCGCGCTGGCGTCCGACCGCGCTGGAAGCCGCCGCGCGGCCGCCCGCCGCCGCGGCGCGGGCGGGCGCCGCGGAGCCGCGGCCGCCGCCTGCTCCCCCGCCCCCCTGGCGCCGCGGGCGCCCGCTGGCGACGCCGGCGCCTCGGCGCCGCTTGCGGCGGCCCCCCCCCAGGCCCCCCTGCGCCTCGGGGCGCCGCGGCGCCGCGGGCGCCGCTGGCGACGCCGGCGCCGCGGGCGCAGCTGGAGCCGCGGCCACCGCCTGCGGCCGCCCCTCCGAGCTCCCCTGCGTCACGGGCGCCGCGGGCGCCGCGGGCGCCGCTGGCGCCGACGGCGCCGCGGCGCAGCTGGTGACGCGGCCGCTGTCTGCGGCCGCCCCCTTGGGCTCCCCTGCGCCGCGGGCGCCGCGGTCGCCGCGGGCGTCGCGAGCGCCGCGGTCGCCGCCGGCGCCGCTGGCGCCGCGGGCGCAGCGGGAGCCGCGGCCGCCGCCCGCGGCCCCTCCCCCGGGCTTCCCTGCGCCGCGGGCGCCGCTGGCGCCGCTGGTGCCGCCAGCACCGCGGCCGCAGCTGGAGCCGCGGACGCCGCCTGCGGCCGCCAGCCCCGCAGCCAGCCCGACAGCCCGCCCTCAACAGCAGCAACAGCAGGGCACTCCTGGAAGCCGGCAGCAGCAGCAGCAGCAGCGGCAGCGGCAGCAGCAGCAGCTGGCACCCAGCGGGCCGACGCAGCAGCAGGGCTGCAGCTGCAGCAACAGCAGCCTCACACGTGTCAGTACAGCTTGCAGCCTTCAGCTGCCTCCCTGGGTTTTACTGGACGCTCCCTGGGTCTTCTCGGCGCACGATGGGGCCTAGGAACAACCAAGGTCCCACCCGTCGCTGGCCCTCGTGCCTGCCACACAGTGAGGACGGCCCGCCAGTCAGGCTGGGTTCTCGTGTCTTCCTTGCTCGGTACTGTCCCTGGATGCGTTGGGCCTTCTTCAACTGTGGTTGGCGCTACTGGTGCGAGAGACAACTGGCAGAGTGGCTGGACCTCTGACTGGCACGACGACCAGTGGCAGTCAGGAGGCAAGCGTGGTGGTGGCAGGCCAGACGATCGTGGCGAGAAGGGACAACGGTGGGGCGACTGAGCCCCCCCCCCCCATCCCCAAGAGTTTCAGGTGCAGCGTCCGATTTCCACACTCTGTGCAGCCTTCAGCTGCCTCCCTGGGTTACGTTTCATATACTCGTGTGGCGGCCTTCTGCCGCCCTCCCTGGTACACGCACTTCCTGCCTTTGGACCCAAGTGTGTTTACCAGCAATACCGTCTGCATGACAGCGCTGGGGCGTGTTGCGTGCAGGCCATAGTTGGCCCCTGGCTCCGCTGTACTTGTTTTCAACTCTGGCCCTGTCGGACTTCGTCCCCCGGCCTCGCGGTTCTGTGACCGACGCAAAGATGGCTTCGCCTCGTCACTGTCCAGAACCGCACTCACACTCCTTGGGCTTCTTCGTGACCGCTGGCTGTTGCTTGGGCTGCAGCAGGTAAGCGGCGGCACAGCTTTCCCAGAACGCCATCGTCTTACACTTCACTCTGGTACGCCAGGGTACCAAGGATAGGCGGCTCGGTGTATGCTCGTCACGTTAGATGCTCCCTGGTACGCGTCCCTGCTCTCATCTCCGGCTGGCAGTCGCCTTCGACTTGTGCCTGGTAGAGGATTGGGACAGTTGTACCTTCCGCATAGCGTCACATCATGTTACCTGATGGCTCGCTTGCGAACGCATCTATTCGAGGTTGTCTCCTGGGCCTGACGTGCTTCGTTCGGTTACAGACACCACGAATTTCGCGCCTTCTGGCTGCGTTGGTGCGTACTCTGAAGCTGCGACGGTTCGCTGGCGCTGTCAGAGTCCAACCTCTCCTACGGTATGCAGTCTGGCGACAGCTTGCGTGTCGTCGGTCGCTTCTGCTTGAGCATGGCAGACACCCTGGGGCCCCTTGGTACGCCATTCCCGCGCCGAGGTTGGCAGACTCCCTACTGTTCAGATATCCTTGACGCGGTGGGGGTCTTGCATCGCGCCACTTTGGCAGCGTACTTACTGCTCCCTGGGTGCTGGTTGCCGTCAGACTCCCTGGGCTGCAGCACCCTTGCACCCGCCGCATGGCGCCGGCCGCGCTCGCGCGCGCTTTCGGCCAATTTGTAGCGGCCGCAGCCCGACCGTTACCCGCCGCCGCTGGCGCTTCCGCCCGCGGCTGTAAAAAAAGAAGTATCCCCACCTCTCGCTTTCGCTCCTAGACGGTCGCCCAGGAGCCGCCAACCAACAAAAGTATCCCCGCCAGTCCGGGTAATCAGGCTCCGCCCGTAACCCGGGTCGACCTTTGACGCCGCCTGCGCCTTCGCTTGCGGCTGGGACCAAAAAATATCCCCACCAGCCCTGTTGGGGGTCTCTGGGAGGCCCAGGCAGGGGTCCCTTATACAGGTTCCCCCTCGAGGGCTCTCAAAACCATCTGTTGGGGCCCCCTCGGTCTGCTCTTGGGCGCTCTTGGGGCTGCCTGTGGGGCCTCTTGGGCATCGCTTGGGGCCCTCTTGGGCCGCCTTGGGGCCACTTCGAAGCTCAACAGCACCCCGCGCGAAACGGCGAGGCGACAAACAGCATTTTCTCTTTTGCACGGGGTGTCCGGAGCTCCGACCACCGGCCCGCGCGCACGGCTCCTGCAACGCAAGGTCGTCCACTGGTCAGCCCAGCTCCACTTCTCCCCCCAGCCCGCGCGCCCCCTCCGCCGCGACCATTTTATTTTCGGCACGCACGCACGGCACTGGTGATTCGCCCTCCCATCCCCCCCAGCTAGCCCAGCAACCCCCCCTCACCCCAGCCCGCGCCCCCCCCGGCCCCGACCATGTTATTTCGGCATGCGCGCACGGCGCTGGCAATTCGCCCCCCCCCCCCCCCCCAGCCAGCCCAGCCCCCCCTCTCCCCACAGCCGGCGCGCCCCTCCCGCCCCGACCATTGTACTTCGGCGCTCACGCGCGGCATTGGCAACGCGCCCCCTCGGCCGCCAGCCAGCCCAGCTCCCCCTCTCCCCACAGCCGTCGCGCCCCCTCCGCCCCGACCATGTCGATCGATCCGATCGATCCGATTCGAGATCGGTTCTGGCTGGCCCGATCCGATTCGATTCCAGTGTCCGGGCGGCCCGATGCGGCCCGGCGCTCGCATGGCGCTTCTGCGCATCCCGGCGCGGCCGATCCGCCTCGATGCCGACTCCGTGCCGATGCGGCCCGATCCGGGGCGCAGTCAGTCACCACCCACCGAACCACCGCAACCCACCCCGGAGGCCCAAAAACACCTTCTATTTCCAGTTGGGGGGGGGGTCGGGGAGCATCGAAACCGCACCCCGAAACTTGGGTCTTCGGGTCAGGTTGGGGTGGTCTGGTAGGTCGTCATGCGTAGGGGAACGAAGAATGACGTACACATAACATTTCGGATGTCCGCGCGGACTTCTCGGAACCGCGATGGAGCCCCCTGGCGGCGCCTCCAGTCCCGCCCCGATCCGAGAAGTTCGCGCGGACCTCCGAGTTCTTATGTTCATGCCATAGTCTTCGTTCCCCGAAAGTCGGTCAGCTTCGATCCGGTCTCCCGCCCCCTGTGCGGACCGATCCTTGGCCGGGCAGCCGCCGAGAGCAGCCGAGGAGGGCCTCGCGGTCGACGCGCCGCGGTTGACGCGCCGCTGCCGCCGCCGCCGTCAGTGACGACGACGACGACGACGACGACGACGACGACGACGACGACGACGACGACGACGACGACGACTCCCCGAGGCACACCGCCGCGCCAGCGGTCGCTGCACGCCGGCGTCGTGGTCGGCGACTGCCTCTACGTCTTCGGCGGGCGCGCAGCCCTCCGCCGCCGCCGCCGCCGTCTTCGTCGTCGTCGTCGTCGTCGTCGTTGCCGCCAACGCCGCCAACGCTGCCGCCGCCGTCGCCGCCGACGCCGTCGTGGTCATCGTCATCGTCGTCTCCATCTTCCGAAGAGCAGGGAGCGGCGTCGACATCAGCTGTCGGAGCGCGGCGCGGATGTCTTTGTTGATCGGCGCCGGACCCCCCTCCCTGCTAGTGCGCCTTTGTCAGCCATGGGTGTCGCGCGTTCAATCCCGTTTGGTTCTGCGGTTCCCCACTTGCCCAAATGCGCCCAATTGTGTTTGCAGGTTGGCCAGCGCGCAGGACACCCAAGCACAGCACGCCTCCTTGCTGACCAACTTCCAGGAAGCATCCACGTCTGTATATAATATGACGAAACACCCTCATCCGGCAGCCAGCCTGGTTGCCCCGCAAGGTGTTTTTTGCTATTGCTTTTGACCGCTTGCCTGCTTCCCGATGTCATCATTTCCCGCTTACTTGCTACCGCTTGCTTGCTCGCGCTTGCTTGACTTTGTCTGCTGGCTGTTGTTCGTTTATGGTTCTATTTTGTCTTAGCGCCGACAATCTGTACATACGTCTGGCATTATGTGTGGGTCAACCGTATCTAGGAGCCGAATGGAGCACCTCATCTAACCTTCTGAACGAATGCCAAGCACGGCGCGAGACGATTTGGTAGACGTGCAGAACTGGGTTCTGAGTAACGCACGAGACGTGATGTAAATCGATGTGTGGGCACGTGTGAGTCACGCTGCGGAAGGTGGCGTGAGGCCACGACTCGAATCGGTATACTCCCGCACCCGGGAACCCACCCCTCCCAGGGTCGTTCTGGCCAGTCGTTCGTGTTCCGAGGCGGCTTGCTCCACGTCAACAGAGGTCCTTTTGGAGCGGGGGCCGCCCCGCCGATGCGCCTTCGCCGCTCCTGCTGGCCTCGCGGTGGAGTGCCCAGGCGTCGGTTGCCGGCGCGGGGGAAATGTGGCGCACGCTGCTCGCGGCCGCCGTGGGCGCTGCGACGTGCGGGGGCCTACCCCCGGGGCCGAACCTGACGGTCTCGGAGCCCAGGGTCCTCCTGGCGCGCTCCCAGATGGTGGGCTACCGGGTGGGCTACCCATGCGGGCAAGATGTACATCATGTCCATTCCATCTTGGAGTTTCGGGCTCCCTTCCCCAGACCCCCGAGGCGCAGTGGATGCACTGCGCCTCGGCCATCTGGCGCCCCTCCCTAGAAAGTCCAGGGCGCAGTGGATAGCGAGACAAATCTTGCCCGCAACCCAGATGCCGGTCTGGTCGCCATCAAGGGCAGCTCTGGGTATCGCTACTGGATGGACGGCGGGAGCGGGAAGATCGACGGGATCCCTGGCAGGCCCTGGAGCTACATGACCAGCTCGGGATCTTCTCTGGACGTGGGTGAGCTGGTCACTGGCAACGTTCTCGGGGGTTCGCAGAGGGCGGGTTATCCCAAGGTTGGGTTAGTGAAAGACCGCAGCCAGATGATGACATTTCCTGATTCCAGGGGCTGTTTAGGGCGATTTTCCTCTGAACCCACCTCGGCCTCTATCCCCCCTTTACGCCCCCCGAAGTTCAATATTGGGATAGTTATCCATGCCCCGTGTTCGATGGATTCGCCTACGAAGGGCCATGCGTGCGTGATGACAGCTGGCACGGGGGCAAGGCCTTGATGTGGGCGGGCAACGTGTACGAGGATCGGGAGACTGGTGGCATCCTCATGTTTATCCACATGGAGTTCCACGATCCGAGGCCAGCTGCTGAGATGTGCTACTTTCGCTTCGGGCTGGCATACTCAGACGGCGGCGGCGAGAGCTTCAAGTGGCTCGGCTATCTGGCCGAGCCCGAGTTGAGCTACGAGCACAGCATGTTCGGCTCGAAGTATGGCCGCCCCCGCTGGTTCCCGAACATGGGCCTCCCGAGCTACGTGGTCAAGGGCGGTCACTTCTACGTGTACTACGGCGACAGCCACGACCTGGACGCCGATGGCAGAGTGCAGCGCACCGCCGCGGGCGGCGGCGGCAACCCCGACCAGGGAGTCGCGGTGGTGCGGGCCTCCGTCGCCGAGGTCATGGTCGCGGCGCGCCGGGGCGAGGCCGCGCAGTGGCTCAAGTACTTCAACGGCTCCTTCAGCGAGCCCGCCATGGGGGGCGGCAGGTTCACGCCGCTGGACCTGTCGCCGCAGGCCGGCGGCGGTGTCTACGGCGGCGACGGCAACGGCTGGTCTGTGGGCGACCCCCGATATGCAGCCAAAGATCAGCCAAAGATCATCGGCTGCAGGAGCCCCCGCGGGCCCTCCCAAGACGACCCCGCCGAGCCTCCAGGGGCCCCAAGATCTCCCCAAGGTGCCCCAAGGCCAGGCCCCGCCCGCACCCCGTCGGAGTGCGGAGCGGCGGCACCGCCACCACCAGCGGTTCGCCTGCGGCGAGGGGATTCCCTTGGGCTTCCCCGAGCTGTAGGCTGGAGGTGCCTCGAGTGCGACGCCAGAGAGCAGGGACACCACACCAACAAAAGGTCGCTCCTGGGCTGCTCGTGGCGTTGGTGGTGTCGCCGTTCCTTGCTCCTGCGCAGGGGTACATGCACGGGGACGCCGCGTGGTGCGAACCGCTGGGGCAGTGGGTCATGGTGCAGCAGTCCGGCGGGAGGATCCGGGAGGTCGGAGCGTGGAGGAAGAGCATCTTGTTGTCGTTCTCCTCCGATGCGCTCCACTGGACCGAGTGGCAGCCGATATACACGGTCGACTCTGGGGAGGTGGTGTACCCGAGCCTCATGAGCTTGGACGGGCCCAACAACGAGGTCCGATGGTCCTCAGGACGTGTGTTAGCCAACTGTTTGTGTGTGTGCCCGTGCGTGTGTGTGTGTGTGTGTGTGTGTGTGTGTGTGTGTGTGTGTGTGTGTGTGTGCGTGCGTGCGTGCGTGCGTGCGTGCGTGCGTGCGTGCGTGCGTGCGTGTGTGTGTGTGTGTGTGTGTGTGTGTGTGTGCGTGTCGTTGTCCCGCTGCCCCGCTAAGCTACACCGACAGCGCGCAGCTTGCGCCAGCCCTCACCACGTCGCCCTCGTCGTGTCGAAAGGCTCCAGTGGACAAGCACACGCTGGCGCTAACACCCGCTCTGAGGATCATCGAGAGGTCCTCGGCCGGACTTTCTCGGTGGTCTTCCAGCACCGCGCCGGCGACAGCGCTGCCCCACCTTTCCAGTTCGACGCGGTGAACGTGACCGTCTCCCTCAGCGCGGCCAGTCGGCCAGAGGCGCGCGCGGTGGTCGTGTGATCGACCTTGTAAGAGTGATCTTTCGCCAGAGAGGCCTTCTGGTGCGGTATCGCTGAGCGCGAAGCGGTGGCAGCGGGTTACGCGCCCAGGTTTGGCCACCTCGCGTCCCCCGTTCAGCCGCCAGAGCTGCCCCGCTGTTCCGGTACGACGCGGTGAACGTGAGTCTTTTCCCCGGCGCGGCCAGTCGGCCGGAGGCGCGCGCGGTGGTCGTGAGCCCAGAGATATCCCCAGACGCACGTTCTCGGGGGTTGCCAAAGGTGCCCTTGGCCCAAGGTGCCCCCAGTCGGCCACGCGCAGGCGGGGGTCAGGGGGAGGGGGGAAGGCTTCTTAGACAAAACCCTGCTTCTTAGCAGGCTCGGGAAATATCTGCAGATGGAAGGCAGGCGCCTGCTAAGAAGCAGCCGTCTTCTGAGAAGCCTTCCCCCCTCCCCTTCCCTTTTTGTGCGCGCCGCTTTCGCTTCATCTTGGAGCTCCTGGGCCCCTTGCGCCTCGCGAGGGGTGCTCTGGAGGCCGTGGAGGCATCCTCGGAAGTCCTGGAGGCACCTTGGGCCAGGGGTACTTCTAGCAGTGCCCAGCACGTTCTCGGGTGGCTTGCCCGCGCCCCAGCTGCATGTCGGGGAGCAAACGGTGATAGAGACATGCAACACCGGAGGCCCGCGCGGAGTCCTCGGATCGGCGCCAGACCCCACTCCCCGGCGCGCAGAGCGCGCAGAGCGGCCTCGGGTCCCGGCCAGGTTCTCGAGAGGGCGCCATGGCCGTCATTTTCCAGGCTTGCGCCCGCCAGGTTTGGGCCTCGGGTCGTTTTCACAAAACCACGTTTTGCTAAAGGGGGGTCTGTCCATCCCCGCTGTTTGCTCTCCCGGCGCGGGGGCCCCGCCGACGGCGCCGAGCGCGGCGCCGCCGCGCCGCGGCCGCACAAGGCGGAGGCCGACGGCGGCGCTCGGGCAGAGCGGCGCGCGGCGGCGGCAGGCGCTCCGGCAGAGCGGCGCGCGGCGCCGGGCGCGCTGCCGCGCCCCGCCTGCGGCGGGGAGGCCACGGGGGCGCGCGGCGGTCGCGCGTCGCTGGCGGCGCACGCCGCGGAGAGCGGGTCCGGGTCTCGCCGGGAGGGCGCGGCGCGCTCGCGCGCTCGCGCGCGGCAGCGGGGCGGATCCCGGCCGCGGGGGGCAGAGGCCTTGCGCCCGAGGCAGAGGCGCTCTCCTCCCACCCTCCTCCTCCTCCTCCTCCTCCTTCTCCTCCTCCTCCTCCTCCTCTTCCTCCCCTCCTTTACTCTCTAGCCCTCTCCCCTCCTCCAGCCAGCGCGCCCTCACGCTTGGCCCCCTCTGCCATCCTCCTCTGCCCTCGCCCTCCCGCCATCCGAGCTTCCCCGTCCTCCATCCGCATGCGGTTCAGGTTGGTGGGTGCGGGGAGGTGTACGCTCTCCTGATGCGCCTCCGTCTCGCGGGGGCTGCGCCCATGAAAGTGGTGACCGATTGCTCTATGGTCATAGACGTGTAGAAGAAAGGGCCCCAGTCAAGCAGGACTTCGAAAAAGTTGTCTTCCCAGAGCTCTGGGAGTTGATTTTCAGGTTGGCTACCGACGTGGGGATTGACAACATATCTGCGAGCAAAATCGCGTCTCACCCCTCCACCAGTCCCGCGGTCGTAGCTCGGGCCCAACCCCGCAATCCACATACCAAGCATCGCTATAATGGTTTAGCCCCGCGAGTGCGACAAGCAGCATGACTGATAGCTGAAGTGATGGATGGTTTGAGTTCTCGGTCGTTTCCTGATATGGCTCGGTTCCGTTGGCCCAAACGGGCCACTGCGTGCCTCCTGGAGCTCGTGCCTGATTCCAGGGACCGTGCTCTTCAGAAAGTTGCCAAGTCTTCGTTTACGTGTTTGCACTGCGGCGAGAAGGGGAAGCCTCGGGCCGCGGTCCATGTTTTTCCCCTTGTGGCAGGCCGCCCAAGGTTGCCAGGACCAGTCACAGGACGCATCGGGTTAAGGTTGGATGGAGGGTCGGGTCGCGTGGCGCTCGCGCTGTGGTGCCTGGACGCACTCTCGGCCCGTATCCTGGGGATCCTGCCAATCGCCGCGCCATGGGAGGCTTAACCAAGCCCAAGAGCGGCGCCGACCCCAGCTTTGAGTCATACATCTTCGTCGGTCGGTGCCGTTGGTTTGGGCCGCCGAGGGATGGGCTTCGACGGAGCCGCCTCGGCAGTCACACTTGCCACCCGAACTGTTGTTGCAGCTTCGTTGCTACCGCGGTGACGGTGCCTCCGAGACCAACGGGAGACCAACAGGAGGAGGAGGAGGAGGTGGAGGAGGAGGAGAAGGAGGAGGAGGAGAAGGAGGAGGAGAGGGAGGAGGAGGAGGCGGAGGAGGAGGAGTAGGAGGAGGAGGAGAAGGAGGAGGACGACCGCCCCTTCCCTACTCCCACCGCGTGCGCCGCCAGCCTCGGGCCTGTTGTGCCCACCGCGCGCCCTGCCACAGGTACGACGGCAGCAATCGTGTCAACGATTTCTACAAGTTCAGTTTCAAGGCCAGCCTGCCAAGACGCGCACTCATCGGGTCTCCCGCACGGAGCCAGGCGAAGGAGAAGAGGGGTGTGGTAGGAATCGCGTGAGCTGTGTGCGCGCAGCGTGATTGACGCGTGGGTTGCCCGCAGCGCATGCGACACAGTGCGCGGCGCGGGGCACTTCGGTGAGACATGTTCAGCGTGCTGTCGGGACACCTCTGGACGGCTACGTGCTCAGGTCTGTCCCGAACGCACGGCCTCGTGAAGCGCAGTTGTTCCGGATGGGTCCAGGCACGTTTTGTGTTTGAGCCCCGCCGCTCAGCGTCGACGCGCTGTTCTGAACTCGGCGCTGGGCGTGCGCTGCGGAGGCGCCAGCGCTTTCTTGCGCTCGGAGCGGGGTTGGAGCGCTGGCGCCAGGCGCGACCCCGAGCGGTGTTTGAGCGGGGCGGGCTTACGGGGGGAGCGTGAACAAGCGCGCCCTCGAGGGCGTGAAGTTATTCGCGCTTCGCGGTCCTCGTTCCTTCTCCCCCTCCTCCTCGTCCTCCTTTTCTCCCTTTGGGGGGGCGGCGCGAGAGCGCGAACGAAGCGCGAAGTTGGGAGCCCTTGGTGAAGTATAGCGCGAAGCGCGAAGCGCGAAGTTGAGCGCGAAGCGCGAAGCGCGAAGTTTGGGGAGGAGGAGAATAGGGGCGGAAGTTGGGCGGGAGGGCCGCGGGCCCTCAGAAATGGCGCTGCCTCCGCGCTCCCGGGGCCACGATGCCTTGTGAATCGCGCTGGCCTCGCGCTCCCCGGGCCACGAGATCCCTAGCAGACTGCGCTGGCTTCGCGCTCCCAGGGCCACGATCCTTGGCAACTTCTGTGGTAGTCGCGCTCCCAGGGCCAGCAGCGCGGGATGCTGATCCTGAAGTGGATGATCGGGCGACGCAGTTTATGTTTACGTCGGGCGAAGATTGAAACATAGTTTAAATCAGAGCGTGAATTACCTACCCCGCTTTCGCTTCCAGGCAAAACCAAGCCATACCACGCGCCTCCTCGTCAAGCGGCCTGACCAGTACAGGCTGCAGTTTGGCATCGCTTGGTATCTCTTGGAAGCGAGGGTGGTCAAAAGCGAGGTAGGTTCGTTTGCCCCCTATTAAACATAGCCTGGCGACGATTTCTCGGACTATTGGACCATGTTTTGTATTTTCCGTTCAGCATCCGCCTGTAGGGGGACATGTCCGACCTAAGTCTGTACATGTCCGCCGCCCCCTGGCCGGGCCCTTCCCGCGCCCCCAGGGAGCCGTGTTCGTGCGGCCTCCTGGCCAGAGGCCAGGAGGGCGCGTTCGGGATGGGCCTGGCCCTGGAGCCGTGGAACGGTGCAGATTGCGTGGCCCTGGACGAAGAACAGCAGGATGAAGTCGGGCATGCCCCTCTACAGGAGGAATATTCAAAAACAGTCAGAAAATAGTATAGGAACGATTTTCTTGAGCATTCTCGGACTACTTAAATCTTTAATGACTTTTTTTCCCTGTTCGCCCCAAACCCGCCTGTAGGGGGACATGCCCGACCTAACAGCAGGAGGAGGGGGGGGTGGTCGGACGGGGATGGGACGACGAGAGATCCGATTCACAGCGTGCCAGATCGCTCTCAGAGCGTCCCGGAACGCTCTGAGAAGGCCGCGGCGCCTGATACATCCTCCAGAGCCGCCGGGTCTCAGAGACTCTCGATATTGCGAAGGCCTTACGGCTGGTGCCGCCGACCCTGAATGGCGACGACGGCGACGACGGCGACGGCGACGGCGACGGCGTCGGCGACGGCGACGGCAACGGCGACGACGACGACGACGACGACGACGACGACGACGACGACGACGACGACGACGACGACGACGACGACGACGACGCGACGAGCGCTCTGTCTCAGAGATTCTCGATTTATCCTTACCCGATGTTATCCTCGCCCTTTCTTCGTAGATATCAGCGGGAGCAGGAGCAGGCGCCACAGTCCGCTGCGGCGAGAAGCTGGGGCAGGAGCCGAGAAGCACAAGGGGATTGCCACTCCTGGCAAGGGCCCCCCCCGCCGCTGTCGGTTTTTCGTGCCATACTGCTTCTCCTCCTCCTCCTCCTCCTCCTCTTCCTCCTCCTCCTCCTCCTTCCCCCCTTCACCTCCTCCTCCTCCTCCTCCTCCTCCTCCTCCTCCTCAAGGTCGACGGCACTTGTGTGGTTTGTGCCTACCTGTCGATCTGTGGAAGTGATGCTCTTAGACGCTCTCCGAGGCCTGGAAGGTCGGAGCAACGCTCACGGCCGGACCGAGGCACAAGATCGATATTGGTCGGGGAGGCTACCCTGATGTCCTTCGTGTTTGTTGGATGCCCGTGTGTGCATTTTGGGAGGGTGACCTTGCATGTGCTGTGTGTTTCGGGTGGCGGGGGGTCTCATTTTCTTGAGGGATGTTCTTCTGGCCTAGGTCAGACCGTCCCTTTCGATCTATGGAAGTAATGCTCTCAGACACTTTCCGAGGCATGGAAGTTGCATTTGGCGCCGACAATGCCGCGGCGACGTCAAGCGGTGCCCTCAGCGCAGCAGTAGGCGGCTCTCGCTCGCGGAACATTCACGGGGAGCGGCCTGTTTTGATGTGGCCTCGCGAGCATGTGTTGGTTCTTATCCCGAGGCGGGAGGGCATCGAAAACACATTGCTCTGCATTCGGGCAGTTGCGCACGCGCTGGGCGACCTCTGTGCGGACACGTGCTTCATGTGTGTGTGTTGGCGCAGCTGGAAGGTTTCAAAATCTGGAGACTCGCTACGTTTTTTCGCAGGCGTTGGGCGGGGTCGGAGAGAGGCGGCTCCCGCTCCTCCCCCGGGGGCAGGGGCGGATCGCCCCCGCGGTCGCTCCCTGCTGGGGAACCGCGCGGGGCGGCTCCAGCACCCGCCGCCTGCCGGCCGGCCAGCTGCGGCAGGTTGCACGGTCTGGCTGGAGGGACCAGCGTTGCTCCACTCTGTGGCCTCTGGCCGGGCGCCGCGGGCGCGGGCGCCCTCCGCCATCCTCCCCGTCCTCGCCGTCGCCGTCGCCGTCGTCGTTGACGTCGTCGTCGTCGTCGTCGCCGTCGCCGTCGCCGTCGCCGTCGCCGTCGTCGTCGTCGTCGTCGTCGTCGTCGTCGTCGTCGTCGTCGTCGTCGTTCTCGCCGTCGTCGTCCTTGTCCTCGTTGCCTCGTCGTCGTTGTTGTGAGCGCGGCCGCCGCCGCCGAGGATTGACGGCGCACCGTCCGCGCGCGATCTCCGCGCCGCCGGCCAGGCGGCCAAGTGGTCGCAGATCGCCGTGCTGGGCGCGCTGCCGCCCATCCTGCCGGCCGCCGTGTTGCGGTTGCCGGCGTCGCCCTCGCTGTCGCCGTCGCCCCAGCGACGGCGAGGTTGCCGTCGTCGGTTTCCTGGCCGCTGTCGCCGCTGGCCACCGTCCGTGGCCGTCGTCGCCCTGAACATGCTTCGTTGTCGTGTTCGCGGGCGTCGTTGTCGTCGTC